TTTTTCTCAGAAGTTCTTTTTGTGGGGAAACCACTCCATTCTAATCTCCCAAGAGACACCAATTTTCATATGTAAAATCCAAAAGTTTATCCATAAGTCTTCTGTAAAATGCTGTTTTATCTTCATATGGGGCATAAATTCCCAATATCAAAGTTTTAGCCCCCTGTAGAGTAACTTCCACCCCAACATATCTGCCATAATCATCAGTCAATATAAGTTTTGGATACAGATGGGAGTTTATATACAAAACAACTCCATTTTTTTTCAATCCTGCTGAAATAAATTCCTCTCCCAGATTTTTGTGACTTAAATATTTTACATCTTTTTTCCTAATATGCGTTTCTTGTAGACAAATCATATCTTGTTTTAACTTTTTCAAATAGTGAAAAGCTTTTTCTCCTTTGAGAGGCATTTGCCCCATTTATATCCCACATTAAGCATTTACAATCCATAATTAGTCCAAGATTTTGAAAAGTCAATACCTGTAGCGCCCAATGTGGAATCTTCTTCAGGAATCTGTTGTGGTATTTATTTAGTCTCATCTGTCATTGTCATTTCCCTTTGTGTCTCCTCCAGTTCTTCTTTAATTTTTTTTTTCAAAAAATCTCTTGCTTTCTGCATGGAAGTCAAACTAAATCTCTGTTGTTAAAAGTAAAAATCACCCCTTCCAACTTGTCCCACCTAAATGGAATTTTCTTCTGTTTAAGTTTGTCTTTCAGAAAAAAGTACTCTTTTCTCTTGTGTAGTATTCTAATTGGGATTTCCTTAAGTACGATTACATCTGTATTATCAGTCCTCAGCCTAGTATTAAAATGCTGCTGTAGAACTTGGTCTCTTGTCTTCTTCCTGACAAAGCACACAAGGACATCCCTTGGAACATTTCTTAATTTTGCAAAACATGTATTGATCCTATAGACCTTATCAATCTCTGTATCAGTATCATCTTCCTCCCAATCCAGGAAATCACACAGAGACTTAACAATCTTTTCTCTGATAGTCTCTCCATGTCCTTCTGGAATTGCTCTAAATCTTAAGCAGAATTCTTTTTCTCTCTGTTCCAATAATAACAAATTGTCCAAATCCTTCTGCATCTCTCTATTTATAACTTCTATCTTGCTTTCCAAAACTTCCACTTTGTCAGTAATTTGTTTTAAATCTGCAGCCAGTTGCCCTATAGTTTCTTCAATTTTCTTAGCTTCTTCTTTCAGATCTTTTTTCATCCCTGCAAATCCTTCTTCCATTTTTTTAACTGTTGCAGTCATTTTTTTGCCAAATTCTTCAAACATTTTCTGCAATAAATCTAGTGAAATACTCTTCTCTGTCATTTGCTCTAGTGAACCTCTGCATCCTTCCCCCGGTTTGGCAGCTTTCCTTGTGGCTGCCATGGTGAAAAAATGGAAAGTATGTCAATTATTGCAGAGAAAGTAAAAGGCAGGCTTCTTTTTTGTTCGTTTGTTTTGTTTTGCTTCTCTTGATTTTTAACACTTTAGTCCCGATTGACTCTCTGTAGTCACAGTCATACAGACTGGCTCATATTACTCTTATCTTCTTGTTTTGTAAAATCCACCAATCATCTTTGTCCTTAAAAATAATCAACCTTCCCACAAAGGCCCAGTCTGTTAGTCTACTTAATTTAGTATTTTCAAAGGCACTTTCATCAGAAAAAAAAAAATTATTCCTTCTATTTTTTTAAGATGACTCTCGCCCTTGTCTGTTTGAAACTTTCTTATATCACAATCTTGTTAGGTTCTTTGCTTTTAAATTAAAATCCTTTAAGATAGCATTTTTGTCCTCTTAATTTCAAAAAGAAGGCACTCACCAAGAGTTTTTGATTTTGTTCTTTTTCTTTTTTTCTCATTTTATATTAGTTTATATTAGTTTTTATCTTCTTTTAAAAAAATATTTCATAAAATTATACCAAAAAAAAGAACTGGTAAGAAGCTAAAAGGTTGTAATGAGCAACAGTGACACCATTTTGCAGGGGAGGGCTAGCTCTGACATCATGGGTAAGTGAGCACATCACAAGAGTTGTGTATGGGAAAGATTAACGGATTAGGCATTGTGCTTAATTATAGGCACTGGCTCCATAGCCATTGTGGCTAACCACAGATAAGAGGGGAGGGGAACTTCATATGAGATGTCCATGCTCAGAAAGTATAAAGAGGTGAAGGGAATATATGATAGGTCAGTGCCTTACACCCACATCGTTAATGATTGGCTTAAACTTTTGAATTAGAAATCTATAAGAGAGGTGGTGAGGAATGGCCCAGTGTGGCTACCGCCTATCTCTGCATGCTTGCTGATTTGGATTCTACTGCAATAAACAATTTCCTGATCCCTCCACAAGTGTCTTCCTGCCTTTTATTGTAGCCTGGCTTAGGAATGAACTTCTTAACTTCTAACACCGCAAAGGTCATAAATGCGAGGATTATTTTTTCAGAGTTACTTTTTCATCACCATCGTAACTGCGAATGGTTGCTAAACAAGGACTACCTGTTGTGGCGATCCAAAATCTGCAGCCCAGAGGTGGCAGCCATACTGTGTAGATGCAGGTTGTCGATGCCTAAGTCTCTTCGTACTGACTCTGAATGTCCAACTGCTTCAGGGGATGGCAAGTGCGTACCCCAGGATGTGGCCAAGTTTACTGACTCACTTCTACCATGCACCATTCAGATCAAACCTTGTCCAGGGTGAAACTGAGCTATTCACTTGAGTCTATTTGCTTCCAATGTTGAGTTTATTTCTCACGTGGAGGGAAACTTTTGTATTATAAACATTTCACTTAATAGTTAAAGGACATTGTTTTACCTATTATCTGATTCTTATATTTTAGAATGGTATGAAGGGAAAAAGACCCTCCTATAAGACTGAACACTAGATCTTGGAAAGAAAAAGTCTGCTGATAAGGCAGCCAAGAAAAAGTTTGCTTTTCTATTAAGAGTAGCCCATCTTTCCATTCAGCCTCACATTTGGCTTCATTAGGTAAAACTCTTACCAGTCAAACAAAATGCCTCTGAAGGGCACCAGATTGGGAAAGCCTACTTTAAGGAGACTCCAGTCCAAATCACCTGCTTCTGGCCCCCCGTTCATAAATGTGCTGTCAGACCTAGCTCCATCCTCTGGAGAGGGATGTTTCAAAACCAAGCCTAGCATTCTTGGCTTCCTCACTGGAAGCAAGTCCCATCTAAGCAACTGCTTGCTACTCTCTATTATAAATTAATGTTAGCCAGTTGCTGAGACAAAAACCAATCTGGGAAAAATTACAGAGATTGGTCAAAGGGCAATTAATAGGCATCTGTTTTCCAGCAGTGTTCAACAAGATGCAATAAAAACAGTCAAAAGCACACACAGGAAACGCAATTAACAGTAAAAAAAGATTGTATTTCTTAATTTTAAAAAATTAAACTAATTCTTACCTATGAGAAAGAGCATTGCTAAAACTCATTCAAGATAATGTGGTATCTCCAGTTTCATTAAAAATCCATGATAATACCTTCATAGCAATCAAGTACAAAACAATCTTAGTCAATAGCCCATACATAGGCAAAATGTTCGCTATTTTCCAATGTAGCTTCGCAGGGTACTACATTATTTTTAAAACAAGCAGTGTAAAATCTCTTTCTATGAATATTCAGTGATGTCCTTTGTTTCCTAGTTTCAAGCTTTTTGCTAATACATCCATGATGTAATGTTTTCTTTATTAGTGGGAACGGTGTGTCCCTGTAGAACATTCATTCTGAATGTTCAAGAAATGTCCCATTAGAACAGAAAGTGCAGGCAACAGAGTAAGAGGGGGAGATTCATACAGTATATGATCTGATACAATACCTGTTTTTGCTGGCCCCAAGAAGTTAACATGAAACTCGATTCAGTGATGAATAGGGATGGATGATAAAAGGGCCATTTTTCTAGGTGTGTGGGTGGGTGTGCGTGCATGTCAAGCTGACCCTATAGCAGGCTGCCCTGATCAGCATCAGGTATGGGTAGGAGTTGCCTTACAGGGACAGGTTTATTTCTCCCTAATACAAATGCAGAGGCCCATCTAAACAGCTACAACTATGGGATGGCCATAGTAACAGACAGAAGGGAAGGAAAAGTACACCTTTCCACTCTGTGAATTTTGTGCAGGAGAAAACCTACATAAGCCACCACTTTGGAGCCTATAGAAAGAAAAAAATGGAATCTTTTCAATCCATCTGCCACAACATATGTGACAACTCTCTTTTATTTAAACACATTTTTAAATGATACCTGCATTCACAAAGAATAGCCAGACATTGAATTGGAGCCTCCATATTTCAGAGAGCCTGTTAGATGCAGGTTTTGCCCTTATCTCCTTTTGGGGAGTTTTCAGAAATATTTCTGGCTGCTTCTGACACCAGAGTGATGAGTTAGACACCACCCCCTGTCTGATTCAAGAGGTCTGTTTTTACGCTCACGAGTCCATCCAGTGTACGGTTGCTCGAGTGTGCCTAGCTGGTTGAATGCATTCACTATCACATTCAATTGTCAGCATGAATTCAATTAAACAAATGTAGATTTGCTCCAGGAAAAAAAGGCCTTTAAATGACTGAAATGGTTGCTATGTGTTCGCTATAATAAATTATTTTCAATTATTATACTCAATGGATGTTCTTCTTTTTACTGTTGCTTATGTTGCGATTCTTCTGTATACTGCTCTGGACTTTTTTTGAAAGGAACAGCAGGGTATAAATAAAATAAAAATATTCAAGGCACAATATCTACAACAAGAGAAATGGTGGCAAACCAGAACAACTTACTTCACTTTCCATGTGACACCCAGTTGCTAAGTGCAGCTCTTGCCAATGAAACTGCTCAGCTGAAGCACCCCTGCCCACATGACAGATTGCCCCCCGTTCAAAACCCACCCTTGCCCACAAGTCACCCAAGGGACTGCCCCTTGACAGCTGAATTTACATGGGCAGGAAACCAGAGCTCAGCCCAGGAGAGCCTCAGCACTTTCATTTTGTCAAAAGAAAGAAGAAATTGAGGGCCGGAGGTGTTTTCGCAAAGCTCTAATTAAACCCAATCCAAGATACATTCCTTTCATCTCAGCTTTTGACCAGCTATGGCAGCTTCTTCATTCCAGATTTGCAGGGACTTTGGGGCCGCACTGGGGCTCTTGCTTGTAGTCACAGGTATGGTTTCTTCCATCTCATCTCCTTCTTCAGCCAAATCTATTGATTAAGATGATTTAAAGTCCTAGGTAGTTTAATGATGTTCGTTGCCTTTTTGTCTATGTCTTCCCTCTCTCTCTCTCATGAGCCAATTTGATTGTCTTTTGGATAGAAGGGCAGGGCCTAAATAAGCAAATAAATAAAAGCTATTTTTATTGGCCTTTCGAAATTGATGCTCTCCAGATGCTACCACTAGAAGTCCCAGAATTTCCATACTGCCAAGTTGACTAAGAATTGTATTCCTAACACATGAAGAGGTTACCATGTTGAGAAGGCTGGTCTGTTTTCATAGTGGGCTGAGAGTTGGATCACAGGTGACGGGTTGTCTTATAAGAAACAAGGTGCACAACCTGAAACCCAGCTGGAAGAGACAGAGGGTGGCTTTCCAGTTATTCTGTGAGATTGCAGAAAAAGGTACCAAAAGAGAGGGGAGGGGAAAAAATAAAACCAGATTAAGAGAGGGATCAGCAGAAAATTCTGTTGAGAATTCAATGAGAAGCAATACTAAATGAGAGATAATGACATCCTCTGAGTTATTGAGCACTTTATTTTAGAAATGAAGTTTTAGAAAACTGCAACACCTGAAGCCACTCTTTACAAAGACACCAGTACTCCAAAGGCTGTGCGGTCTTTTCTGGATGGTGGAGATACTAGTTGGGATCTTTGATAATCTGTGTGTAGGGGCTGGAAATGTCTAAGATGGAGCCCAGGACATTCTGCTCCAGGGAGGACCTTCTTCGGCCCCCTGCTACTCCCCCCCCCCCAAGTTGTTCAGGGTGAATTTCATAGAAACAGGAAAGAAAATTGTGTTCATTGGACTGTGTTACCAAAAAATACAACACTTCCTGTCCAGCTGCTTTGAATTTGGGGAGAAGAAGCTGACACGTTGGTGTTAGCTTTTTAAAACAAGAAACCTTCTGATTGAAGCTCACCAGAGAAAAGGAAAGCAATGAAGATGGGCTTTCACATACTCTCTCAGGCTGAATAAAAGGATAGTAGTACTGAGACTTCTTTATCCAGCTAGGATAGCCAGATGTAGTTGAGGGCAATTTAACTGTTGTATAAAAGAGGTTGTTTCAGCAAATGTGAGTGTAAAGTGGAATCATTTGAGCTTTTTAATTCCACAACTAATATATGGGTCCTGTCCTTTTCTCAAACTGCCCTCAGGGCTAAAATAGGGCTCTTCTCAATTTAAGACCAGGAGTACTATAGAAAAAAATTGCTCAGGTCTAAATGTTGTAAATCATATTTTTCTCTCATCCTACTTCTAAAGAGCTTAAGATGGCATGCACAGGAGCTCCACAGTTTTGTAGGGTAATAATGCAATACTAGGTATGTCTTCTCAGAAGTAAGTTTTATTAAGTGCTTTCTTCCAAGTAAGCTTTGCATTTCAGCCTTGAACTCAAGGTACCTGGCATCATAGATTGTACTTTTCAGCACACATGACTAGAACTGACAGCATTTCATCTTCCTAGGCAGAGATTAAGCATAACAGGAAGGGATTTTACCCCCATCTTATACTGAAAAAGTATGCCTAAAGCATGGTCAAAGGACAGGAAGTAAAAGGATGAACATTATTATATTGTTTCCTTTAATTATTTAAAAAATAGTTATTCTGTAGAGAGAATACATTGTTTTACTTTCAGGAAGGTTGCTAGATTCACACATCACACTCATGTTCTATTTAATCATGGATTATTGAACAAATCACAATTTGCTGGGTTCACTCAACACATTAAATCAAAGTCAAATAACATTGTGGCTTAGTATGATGCATGAACCCAGTCAATGGCTAGGTTTACAGACCATACTAAGCCATAACATAGTTGGTTTGATTTTGGCTTAACAAATGTGATGAATCCAACCAATTAAATCATGGTTAAGAAAACAAGATTTGCAAATGTACCACAGTGGGCGGCAGACACTGAGTCTTGAAAACATAGAAAACCAGGAGGATGTGGAATACAGTAGAAGCTCTCATACCCTCAACAGGTGTGAATACTCTACTCTGCAATACTTCCCTGCAGGTCCTAACTCCTGGATTAAGATCTCACTTAATCTCTTTCTGCCACTTGCTTTTCTCAGGGCAGCATATCCAGACAGCCAGTTTAACGTGCTGTCCTCAGTCCATGAGGTAGCACAAACTATGTCAATATCACACCATCCACATCAGGAACACAAAAGGGAGAATGATGAAGGGCAGGGCAAGTTAAGGTGCAGAGACTGGTGGGTTTTCTTACCCATGAGAAAAACATCCGATTGCCCTTATGGGGCTAGGAGAAGAGGCAGGTTCTGACAAATGGATTACAGTGATGGATTTAGCCATCTGTCAGAAGCTGATTGGGGGTTATTCAGTCAAGTAGGAGAGGCTCTCCTGTCCTGCTTTCCTTAAATCCTCTAGATACAACTAGGACTGTCACCTGATCCCATGTATTAGGTGCTGCAAGTGTCCATGGGATGGGTAAAAGCTGATGTGGGCTTGAGGTGTCAATAGGAAAATTGCCCTGTTGAGTGCCTTTGCTATTATGCACTGACTGTCAGTAGGGGCTGAGAGGCAGGGCGTTCGGCACAGTGCTTTTGTTGCTGGAACCTGCTTGTTTGCATGTGTGGCTAGGGCTCATAAGAAGGTCATTCAGCCCTATTGAGCCCCCACTGGTCAGCCCCTGCCCACTTTCTGGGTTCTGCAGCATCTGAGCTACACAGAAGACATCTCCCACATCCCCCACCTCTGCATACTTGCTGACCCACCTGCTGACATGGCGTGCAGAATATCTGGGAGTTCCCCGGCCCATGACAACAAAGGTGGGGGTAGCAAATACTGAAGTGGAAAATTCCGCCAGTTTCAGCCAGCACATCATTGTGTCTGACCTGCTGACAACTGATCTCCCACTTCAGCACCCACCATTGTGTGTGACCTGCCAATGGGGCTGCCAACACACCATGTAGGGAATCTGGGGTGGAAGAGGAACTATGACTTCCAGCAGACTCTCCCCACCATGCGACCTGCCTGTCAGCCACTTCAGAGAATGTGCCCACACTGCAGCCAAAAGTGGCCCATAGGAGCTGGATAGAGACCCTCATCCCGATTGTTGCAACATCATCTCAGTGATACCCAAGGTACAACATATCATGGCAAATAGCAAAGCTTATTTCAAGGAAGATGGAAAACACCACTTCAGCTTTGGTGGTTCAGAAAAACCCAAGGTCATCTAGCCTTGGCTATGGACTGGGATGAGAGGAAGGCCGTGACATGTAGAGAAGTCCTAAATAGCCAACCAGCCAGCCAGCCATCTTCAAGCTGAATTTAGGTGGACCTGTAGATATCAAGCCTGCCCTGGGCTTTTTATTAGAAAGCCCTGGCCCATCTCCATAAGCCCTCTCCCCCAATCAAATTTTGGATTTTAATGTTAAGATTTGTTCATCAAAATTTGTACTCTCATATCTGAATTGGAATTCAGCAACAACATTTTTAAAAATGTCTTATTGAATACTTGACTTTAAAATGACTACTTGCACATCTCAATTAAACAGTCAGTTACTGAGGGGTTACGTATCAGCAAGTGATAGATATTAGTGGCTGGGTCTACATATTGTACTAAGTCATAAATTATGGCTTGCCCATTACAGGGACTGGGCTTACACAACTCAGTATAAAACTTATTTGGCTTAGGGCTCATCCTCACATCCTCTTCATAGGCCCTGATGACAGCATTTATATGCAGTGTCCTCATGATATTTGCTTTCCTATCATTCTCCAGCTCACAGCTGAGGCAATTTAAGGCCATCTTCAGCTGTTCCAGTTTTAATGCAGGTTTTTCCCTCTTCTCCCAACTCAATATTTCCCATGGATCTGATCTTAGATGTAGCTGATGATACCGTCAGGGGTTGGTGGTCTGCCTAGAACCTCTTGGCCCTGTTAGGGTGCTACAGGCAGCCCTCCCCATTTCTAGTTGCTGTTCACTTCCATTTCCTTCATGACCATTTTGGCTTGGATGGCAGGAGATGCCAGACCCCCTGACTTCCACAGAGGCATCTGCACGCAGAAGGCCTGGCCATCACTTTCCACCTGTGGCCTGGTGTTGCCCCACAGCTCTGGCCCTTTGTACATGCATACAAATCATAGTGCATGTACAAAAGGATCATAGGGCTTTCATGGTGTTTCTGCTTTCACTGTTTTGCCCCCTCCCTTGTCCCCTCCACAGACACCACTATGGGGCTATACTTTCTATTGTTTTTATTACTTGTGGAGACACCATTTTACCTTCTCCACAGGCTGCCTCTGCATGCTGCCTATCACAGCCATTGCCATTCCCTTGCAGCGTGAGCTGAAGGTGGAGTTTGCTCATTATCAGTTATGCTTTCTTCTTCACCCTGCACACCTCCTCTGGGCCTAGGACCTATCTGATAGGCTGCTTTGGACATAGGCTTCATGCTTGACTTGGGCAACTTAAAAGGAAGGTAAACCCTCTCCCTCAGGTGTCCAGATACACTCACCCAACCCCACTATACCACACATTAAGGAGAGCAACTGGTGGTTGTTTTTTGGAACAGTAATAATGCTTGGTGATGGTAACAGAAGTGAAGCCAGGAGAATCCACGTATCAACCAATTTAACTTGTTCCGCATTAAAACTGTACAGAGAACATTCACCATCCTTGTTCCAGAGTCAGAATAGGGCTTGTCTGTGATGGCAGTGGAACTGATGCCAGTATATTTTTCTGCCAGCTCAAGGGCTGGAGGATACCATGTTAGCGTGGCTGCCTGGTTATGTCCCTTGGGAGATGCACTGGCTCCTTCTTGTCAGATCCTGCCAAACACCAGCTTCTGCCCACCATTGCAGCCTTTGTCAGATTGCATTGAACACTGATTAGAACTGCTGAATCTTTGGATGTAACATGCAAAACATCCAGCCTTCACCAAACATTGACACACCCAAAGACTATTCAGAGCATATCCACCATCCAAATTTAGAGTAGCAAATTTGGGGGAGGCAAATGTTGCTTGATTTTATTTTACATTTGTTTAGACCATCCTGCCTAAAGGCGTAGAAGACAGAAAGAAAATCAAACAGCACCAAACTATACAACCAATTTCAGTTCTAGTTGAATGGGTAAATTGGCCCTTTTTTCAGAGTGTTTTTCCTCTTCCCACAGGTATGACAATCACCAAAGCCTCTAGTGAAAGAAACACCACTTCTCAGAAACAAGGTATACGAGCACTTTCGAGATAATATTGTCTTCCAGTTCCTATTTCTGAAATTCCCTTGCAGAATCTTTTTTCCAAGGTTTTGTTACTTGTTACTTGTGAACAAATTGCTTGATTTGGGGCACAACCACACCTGTATGACTGCTATTTTTGGAACAATTTAGGGTCTGCAAAGCAATCCAATGTTCACATTTGTGTCAGGCCACTGGGTGCCTTAGAGACCTTTGGCCATCCCATCCTTGGACCAGTCCAATGGATTGTGTTTCCACTTTTATCTTGTTTGATTAAGAAGCCCTGTCAATAGCTTCTCTCCTCCACTTGGCCCGCTTTTCAGCCAGAGAGGACTCCATAAGAGGATGAGGCCTTCAAATCCCAAGAAGCCAGCCTGAACTGAGAAAGGACCAGCCAGTGCCTGACTCTATCCAGCTCCCTGCTCCACCTGTCAGGCCCACCCCAAGGGTGAAGACGAAGCAAACTAGGTTAGGAGCCCCAATCTATTATACTCTGGTAACAAATGAAGACACAAACAAAATATGTATCCCAATCAAAATTAGCCCTCCCCACCCTGGAACTCTGCAAGGGTGCTGGGAAACCTTCACCTATCACATAACTGTTTGTCATTAAGCTTTCAAGGGTACAAGGACCTTCCTAGAAAAGGCAGCTCCACACCTCCAATGAAGAAGAGTTGACAGCAGTCTGCCACTAGTCAGGAATTAGCTGGAACATGATACATGCTTCAATACCTTATTTAGAGAGACCTGCCTTCCTAGCCTGCAGCATTCCTGGAGGGGACCTGGCTGGGGAAGATTGATAGAAAGTCCAATAAAGATATTTACCCTTCTTTGCCATCCTGCTCTCCACTTTCTCTCTTCACTGTGGGCTTTTCTTCTTTTATACAGGTAACACTTTCCTGAACGTGATAAATACACGTTTTGTTGCTGCAAGATGGGGGGCCCGAATTTCCCTTAGCTGTTCTTTTGGTTCTCTGGCAAGTTGGCATAAAGAGACTGAGCAGGGCAAATATCAGGAGATTATGAACAGCTCCAGAGTCCAGGTGACCGGAAATACTTCAACAGTAATGATGCAGATCAACAAAATTCAGCATACTGACAATGGCATCTACTACTGTAAGATCAAGGACTCATTGAAGCAGTCCTGTGGCACTGAACTCAAAGTCATGGGTAAATCTTTAATCTTCTAAATATTCCCCTCTTTGACGTTGTATGCTTGGGCACTGTCATCTGTGGGCAATGCCTAAGCAAAACTCTGGATACCTGTTGTTCTTGGCCACAAGGCCATACATTTCATTCCCAGAGAAAATATACCAGCTAACATCTAGCATCTTAGCTAGATATATAGTGTTATACAAGCCAAGGATACTTAAGTACATGCAGGCAGTATCTGAACCACATCATGGGGTCTGAATTCTATCCTAGGTACAGAATTCCACTCCGTTTCAAAGAAAGAAATGAAAACGGTGACCAAAACTGATACTTCTGTCAATGTAGTTGTTCCAGGACAGTGGGGTTCACAATTGGTGGGAATATGACAGGGTGGCAGTCTACAGACAAAGCAGAGAAGTGAGGTGGGTTCTTCTTGTTTTTTGAAGGCATCAGCAGTTATGAGCAAGTACAGAGTCGGCACAACCTAAAAGATGCTATCATCTTAATCCAGACAATTCTTCTCGTCCTTTTTGTGAGCATACCTGTGTTCCTAACCCAGGGGAAGGTGAGTGAGTGGGACATTTGTAATAACAGTTCTGTTGGGGCCTTGACTGATCACTAGAATACAACAGTAATTCTTGATATGATTCCATGCGGGTGGCTTCTCCCAGAATGCTGATCCAAAGGGACTCTTTGGCATATTGAAGAGCTGCAGGAATATGGTTCAAGACTTGGATAACTATGGAACTGCTTTTTCAAGGTGGAATCTGGGGGGAGGCTTCCTGCAGACTCATCCCCCCAGGAAATGTCACTAACAAGGATCTGAGGGTGAGCCTTCTTATTCTCAACCCCCTTCTCTGGAACAGCTGACTCCAGATACAAGGGTGGCCTCTTCCTTATTTTCATTCTGGAGAGTTACTAAGATCTGGCTCCTCTGGAGGACCTTTGGGGAAGAGCTGACATTTAATGATAAGTAGCACCAGCATTATAATACATCTGGCATAATTTTGTTTCTTTTTTAATATTCTGCTGTGTTTATAAATGAGCAAATATAAAATATGGACAAATAAATGAGAGAACATTTGAAACAATAACAGAAAAAGCATACAAATATTTGAAGACTGTGGCCTCCAGAAGCAACAATCTGAACAAACTCAAAGGTCTGCTTCCAACAATGCAGGCTGAGAAGACTCCTGCTGTTGAGCTTATCCTAAGCTGTGGCTCCCCGCCCCCCCACTTCACCTCACCTATCCCTATGGATAGCACAGTCTTATCCCTGGCACCCTCCAGATTTATTAGACTACAATTCCCATCCTTCCAGACACTGGAATCCTCAAAATGGAAGCTGGGAGCAGTGAATGGGCTGAGGTAAGGTCAAGTGCTATTTTTTAGGATGAAAAATATATACTGTGAAAAGTACCCAGGTAAAGCCTAAGGAGGAAGATAGGAGAAAGTAAGGAGACCTTATAAAGCAGATGATAAACAGAGTATTTTCTTGGTTTTGCCTTTAATCAAATGGATTTCAGAAACAATCTCAAATATTTCAAAATCAGATGTGACCATAAAGTGTCCACAGAGAGACTAAGAAGCAATTCATCTTTCAAATCATCACCTTTCAGCTAAAAGGATCTTCTCCAGTTACTCAGCCTTCTCTCTGTTGTCCATCTATAGAGAATAAGATTTTCTAAATATGGCATTTTTAATAAAACATTAAGATTGCTTGGTAAGCAAGCCCAGCAACAAATAAAAGGAAAAGGATGAGGAATGCTTGGCCAAAGGATCTCAGGTGATTATCAGAGGAAATATCAAGCTAACTGACGTTTGATTATTCATCTCTTTTCCATTTTAGGGTGACAAAAAAGATGCCTCTGGGGAGGAACACACTTACGAGGTAAGCAACAGAATGAGAGATTCTTAGTGATAAAGCAGGAAAAGGGTATAAGACTGTAATCAGTTCACAGTCAAGATAGGGAACAAACAGAGTCTACCTGTAAGAGGAACAGGAAAGAATTTGCCTATTGAATTGTACTCAGTTTCTCATTTCCCAACCTCAGCTTCACATCCTCTTAATTCAATATCAATCTGCAAAAAAATTAACCACATGAAAATGTATGCTTTTCTCTTGATATTCCATACTGGGCTGTTGGCTACAATTCTCAGACCAGAGAATTGTAGCCAGAGCAGTTTGAGTTCAGTGGAGGAGTCTATATTTTATATGCAGAAAGACCCATGTTCAATTCCCCTCTTCTCCAGGCAGGGCTTAGAAAAGACATATCTGGAACTCTGGGGAGCCACTGCCAGTTAAAGATGGATCAAGGATCTGGTTCAGTACAAGTCAGCTTCTTCCATTCCTGTCTTCTGATTGAACATATTGTGAATCAAGAAGCTGGACTAGATGGGCCTTTTGTCTGATTAAGGAGGGTTCCTTTTATGTTCCTGTAGAGTATCTTTTGGCCAGTTCTTTTACTGGCATACAGAGAGGATCGAATTGAGTTGGAAAGCATGTTTCTACCCCCCAGAACAAAGTGCTTTCTTGCCCTGGCTGTCACACTTTCCATCCATAGGTTGATTCCATTTTTGTTCTTCAACAGGGGCTGATGGTTGAACTAGCTGATACGTATGAAGACATTGGTACTTACCAAGACAGAGTGGAGAAGTGGGATTTGGGGGAACATCCGTGTGAAGAATGAAAGGGCTTGCAGCTTGATATGCCACAGCTGACTTAACCAAAGGGGCACCAATTCCTGGGGCAACCAGGATCCACTATAAAAATTCCACTCTAGAGAAGCTTAGGAAAATTTGCTTATCTCTTGCTTTGCAGCTGAACTGCTAGAACCTACTAAAAAGCAGCATTCACGAGCTCCAGATTCCCTGGGGTTGTTGAATCAAAGGCATACAAATCAGGAAAAGGTAGAAGACAGGTGGACACAATTTGAGGTACACCATAAAAATGAAAACAAAAACAGCTGAGAAGAGAGATGAATTTGTGAGTAGATGGGTTTTCTGGCTTGAGTTTGCTCACACACTCTCTCTCCCAAATTTCATCTTCTTAACTGAATAGGTTTCTGGCCCTCACTCCCAACTGCTAGGCAATAAAGTATTGAATCTGATAAACTAATGTCTAACATCACATTAGTTCAGTTTCTTCAACCCGATACCCTCCAGATGCACTGGGACTACTACTCCCAGAATTCCTTGCCATGGTGGCCATGGGGAAAATATCTGGAATATACAAGATACAGGGCAAATTCTACTGACAATAAGAACTACAGTTTTGCAGTTAGGATTTTCCTTCCCAAGACTCATGTAAAAAAACTTTCTAGCGTCCTTATGAAAGAATTCCAAACGTATCTGCTGAACTTTTCAAAATAATAAAAAGTTTTAATACTTTAAAAAAAATTTAATTTCTCAAATTTTGAATTAGCATGTTACTTCTTTGTTTCAGGGGCATGAAAAAAAATATATGCAAGTGCTCAATTTCTACATTACGGAAATCTGAAGATGTAACATTTTTAGTCTAATATACGTGACCAATTTCTTAGGAACAGCATTTTCCGTCCAGACTGCTTTGCTAAGAGCCGCACAACCACTTGTGAATAATTGTGCAGTTTGGTCTGTGACAGCTCTCCCAACCAGGTACCCTCCAATTGTGTTGATTTCAATCAATCAGCATGGCCAATGGCCAGAGCTGGGTAAGGATCATGGGAGTTTAATTCCAACACATCTGGAAGGCACCAGGTTGGGAAGAGTGCTACATGGTAAAGACTACAGGGGTGTTTATTCCTGGGTGGACCCATCTGTCAACGAGGAGACCTACAGAGGTTACATTTTGAAAACAAAGAACTTTTGAACCAGGAGACCTGGTCACTGTTGGCAGGCACCGAGCTGGGAGAGATGATTCCTTTTCTAAAAACAACCTCTCAGAAATGGCCCAAGGTATTTTGCTGCCTAATATGATCTCATAGGCATCCATTCCTAACACAAAAATGGCAAAAGGTATGTTGTGAAATCGCAACACAAACTCTACCCTTTTGTACTAATATTGCACACATGAATATGTAAGGGGCAGAGCTTGTGTTGTGATGTTCTAATGCACGTTGCTCCATTTCTAAACCCTCCCCCAGAACACCTGCGTGTCACTTGTTCCCTCACCCAGCTCAAGTGTTTCCAGCCATTCTTGAGGCAGAAAATACCACAAAGCCTTTTTTCCACTGCTTGGCGAGAAAAAAACATAAGAAAAAACAACCAACCGTATATTGTCCTTTCATGGTATCCCAAAACAGCTTGTTAAGGTCACCCTGCCCACCAAGCGCTCTCCTCACCAAGAAAGTGGTCATTCAAAGCCACATTGCACATATAAAACATGTATACAATTATTATCAAGATACTGGTCCAAATGGCCTTTTATCTGTGACAGGGATGTTCTACTTCATGCCATTCTGAGCTTGTTTTTCTGCAAGTTACTGAATGGAACCATTTCCTTCCTGTTTTTTCACAAAACGAAGCTAAATACCTCCTCTTTTCACAGTTGGAAAATGGGTGTGGGAAGCAGGGGGCTGAGGGGAAGCAGCCTCACGCACAGACAAAAGCAGAAAGGAGAAAAGTTAATTTTCATAATTCAGTTTCAGTTCTGCCTACTGAGTCCCCTCTGCTCTGGTTCTACTTCTGAGGTGTCATCCATTCCAAACACTGTGTTTTATTTTTCTATTTAGAATGAATCTCAAAGATAGAATTCAAATTCAGCTGCATTTAAAAGTCAGTATCCCACTTCTTCTTTCCAGTTTGTAAGATTGTCAGAACTTGTTCTGAGCCAGCTAGACCCAGAGCCTGTTTTATGCAAACTGATTTTTTTTTCATTTCAAAATAAATTTATATTTATTTTATAAGGGAGCACAAGGCTATCAATGACCATTAGTCACGACAGTCATTGCAGAGGCAGTATTCTGGGGATCTCAGGTAGGAAGATGCTCCTCCCCGCCACCATTATTTTTGCCATCCTTTGTCTGAGTTCTACCATCCCCTACAATCCTCATTATTTACAGCAGGGACAAGGGATTGGCCAATTGTGATAGCTCTATGGAGAAATGGGAAGATTCAGAGCCACATCTTCCACTATGACACAGGTAAGCAACAGGCAGCACCTCAGCAACTATTTTGTGCCCCCGGGGCTTCTTCTGATTACTGCTTTTGAAAATTAAAACAGAAAACACATGGAAATTGAACTGTGCTACAACAAATAAGAAAAAAAAATGGAAGGAAGGCCCTCCAAATCATTCAAATCCCATTGCCCTGCCCACTGCAGCCCTTGAGCACCCCCGAAATATAAAGTGTGGTCGATCCATAGATAACAAAAGGTTATACAATGATTTCATTCGATCAGGTGCCAAGTTCTACCACAGAAACAGAGTTCTAAAGCTACGTCTTTATAAGCTCCAGCTGAAAGGAGCCCTTAAATGCTCGGCACTGTCCTTTGGGTCACTACTTAGGATCAGACCCGTGCATCGGCTGTTTTGTTTTGTTTTCCCCTCTCAGCCCGACAATAATAAAAGCTTTTTCACTGAGGTTGGCTCTGAAGTAGACTGCCACAAGATGTTCTGCTGCTATCTTGGTAACTTCCACAATCTCCCCAAACTTTTAAACTCATGCCCCATTACATATATGAGTGTGAGGAAATGGGCCATTTTGTGAACAGTAAGTATGCAGCGTGTCTCCTTCCTCTGGCTCTTCCATCCAGTAACTCCCTTCTGAGTTATAAGTAAGCAACCACAGACAAAGGCCCAATACAGAGTGAAATCACCAGTGTGAAGAAAAAACATACTGGGCTCATTCAGAGGTAGACTTGTATTATGTCCCACCTGACAAGGCTCAATCTAGCCTCCGAAATAAGGCACATGACTGCTTCCTGCTTAATCTGATTTTTATTTTAGTTATTTAAAACAATTTTATTCCATTCTTCATTGTTACCAAATATTTTGGGACAGGAATAATAAAGTGTCTCAGGACTAAATACAAAAAAAGAAAATGAGTTAGATATTGACTTAGTCATATTTAGAGCAGACCTATAAAATCAGTGAGATTTTAATGATTTTGTCTGATTAATCCAACCAGGTCTATTCTCTTGATTCTACAAAAAAGTTGCTAAGTTTTATTCAAGTCTTGACTCCTGATGGGCAGAGTCCATGATGGCGATTGGGACAGCATCTTGCCCTATTACCTAGGACTCCTTTTGACCTGTGAAAAAGTTCACTTTTTACTTTTTTTTCACTTGTGGGTTCAACCTATGCCCCTCTTGGCTCCTGCAGGGGGGCAGGAAAGGGCATGATGAACTGGATCTGGGAAGTTGTTGGTGCCTCCCTTCAGGAGAGGTTATGCAACAACCTTGAAGGAGGCTGTGGTGCACCACTCCTTAAGAGATGCTCTCAGAATCCAACTGTATTTGATAACTATCATGGATTAAATATAACCCTTTCTGTTCTGTTTGAGGGCTAGACATGGGACTAAGATGGCAATGGTCACTCTAGTGCAGTGTTTCTTAAACTTTTTTTCTCTCAGGAACCCTTCCTACTTTTAAAAGTTATGGAGGACCCCAAAAGAGCTTTTGTTTGCATGGGTTATAGTTACCTATATTTACCATATTAAAAATTAAAATTGACACATTTGCTGCCACTACTGCTTCTCACAATTGTTTGATGGGATTTTAATATTGTATTGTTTTTCAACATAAGGTGGCAAATAATTTTGATTTTGCAGACACCTGAGAGGGTCTTGGGGGATTCCCAGGGTCCTCAGACCACACTTTGAGAAACACTGCTCTAGTTGATGACCTTATCAGGACCAGGATAGGATAGTGTACCTCTCCTAGTCCTTTTGAACCTTTCAGCAGCCTTCAGTGTTATTAACTATGGTATCCTTCTGGACCACCTGCAGAAGTTGGGAGTTAGAGGCCCTGTTTTACAGTAGTTCTGTTCTTTCTTCAATGGGGAGTTCCCATCAGTGGTGGGGGGAGAGGAGAGGCTGACCGTATGGCCACAGTTACGTAGGGATGTGGTAGGGATCAATCTTCTTTCCCTTACCATTTAACATTTCCATTAAGCTGTTGGGAGAGGCCATTCAGAGGTTCCAGGTGAAGTATTATCACTATGTTCAATTTTATATCACCACTTTAGGCATGGCTACAGATGCCATGGAAGTCTTCTCTTGGTGCCTGGAGGCTGTTAGTGTCAGGGCTGTGTTAAATTATTTTGTTGTTGTTGTGTGAGCCTCCAAGAGTCATGAAGTGTGATGGTATACAGCTAGTCCCCAGGTTAAGAACACCCAGTTTGCAGACCTCCAGTTAACAGAGCCTATTGTAGCAAAATTCAAGTTAAATGATTCGTGTTAAATACACAATGATTCGAGTTAAATACAGAATGGTTTGAGTTAATTACGCAATAATACTTATACAATACTACACAATAATTCTGTTCTGGCTTACATACAAATTCGACTTACAGACAGATCTTGGGAATGGAACTCATTCTTAAACTGGGAACTACTTGTACAAAAATAACAAAACAAAACATAATAACAAAAATATAGCAAATAACCATTTCAATTATACTTTTGTAGAGTAATCACATGGTAGCTTTATTTTGCTGCCAGGAATATTGTAAACTAGAAATCATGCAGGGCAGCCCAGAGCTGGGGGTGGGAACCCACAGAAAAAGCCTCCTTTGTAATCATCTGTAGCACATTTCCAATAGCAATCTTGGAGCAGAGTCTCAGCAGAACATCTTAAGATATGGGCAGGCTGGCATGGGGAGAGTTATTCTTTACTTTATTCCCAAAGGTATTTATTGCTTTAACAGTAAGTAGAACCATCACTTTGAATTGGGCCCAAAAGCAAACAGACCACAAATATAATTGAAGGGGGTGGCTATTTGATGAGGAGGAAAACTATCACTTGAAAAGAAGGTACAGGTTCACATTAAATACCCCTGTGTAAATTTAGATGTACAGATACACATTCAGTAAGTGTTTCCACAGGGCTAGTTGTGTTAAACTTTTCCAGCAAAACCTGCACTGAAAAAGCACCTGATGAAGTGGACTGATCCACAAAAGCTTAAGTGAGAATAAACATGGTAGCCTTTATTTTTATTTTTTTATTTTATTTATTTACTTATTTTTGGTGCTTTTGAATCAGTTTTTGACTCCTGGCGACTGCCTGGACAAGTCAGTCCCTGCAGTTTTCTTGGCAAGATTTCAGAAGTGGTTTGCCATTGCCTCCTTCTTAGGGCTGAGGAGAGAGTGACTG